CCGCGCACCCGGGACCAGCACTGGCATGTGCCACGCACCCGGGGCCGGCACTGGAATGCGCCGCACACCCGGGGCCAGGGCCGGCACCGGCATGCGCCATGACCCCGGGGCAGGGGCTGCCCATGCACCCGGGACCCAGAGCCAGCACCAGCATGTGTCACGTGCCCAGATTGTTTAGCAGGTGCACATAAATGCCCTGGTGGGTGCCATGGTGCCTGAGGGCACAGCGCTGGGGACCACTGGGCTAGAGTGTCTTCCATCTGCTAGCTCCATGTCTCTGGCCTGCGTAAGATGTGTGCAGAGCCATCCTGTTCATACCTGTAAGCTGCAAAACTATTCACTCATATTGTGAGACGGACTAGATCTCAGAGATACCACCGCTCCTGATTTGATCACAAGCCTCCTGATAATTGAGGCAGTTTTCTTTCTGGAAAGCACTAGCCACATTATTAGAATTAAGCCAGATCTAGGAACTTCACTCCCTGATGCCTCATGCACCACTGTCAATTGTGATCATTCTGACTTAGCAGGTTATGCTTGTTTGTTGGTGCCTGGCATTAGAAGAGAATCCCAACTTTGTTTTAGTCTTTTTTTTTCTTTTTTTTTTTTAATAAAGATGTTAGGTCATATAGTGATTCTAGCCTGATTCCAGCCTGCATATTTATACCTGCCTCTGGATATTTCCACTCCATGCATCTGACGAAGTGGGTCTTTGTCCACGAAAGCTCATGCTCCGATACATCTGTTAGTCTATAAGGTGCTACAGGACTCCTTGTCGCTTGAACCAAACCGTAAACCTTTATGATGGAAACCACTTCTAGCCAGGGGATGCTGTCCCCCTGCCAGCCCGTAAGTCCAGCAGCCGTTACACAAAGAATATACAACTTACTGTGGGTTACTCTGTTAACATAGAACATAAGTCTCACTTGGCTCATACAGAGTTTAAAGAAAATGAAACATGACAGTAAAAAATAACCCTGCTATTCAGTGGAAGTGTTGAAACTGATCCACTTAGTTTAAGTGCTCCCCTGCACCATTCCCCTCTCTCACCAGCAAGCATTTACCCCACTGTGAGGAACTGAATTTGGCCAGGTAGCGGTTATTTTTCTCTTGGCAGCGCCTGTGATTTTCTATTGTGTCCTGGATCTGTATTCCAGATGTCTACTATATATAATGTGGATTTATTCTGTCACAGCCGCCTTCCAAGATTCTCTCCCTACTGCTCTAGATTGTTTCTCTTCCAATTTCTTACAGCAGGAGGCCACATTCTGATGTACATTTTCAGTGTCTGCTCCTCCGTAGGCAGGCAAAACTCTCAGTGACTTTGATGAGAGCTTTGTCCAAGGAAACGTGGAGTGAGAATTTGAGGGTTGGACCCACAATTCCTTTGATGTAACGGAAAGCTCTACTTTTTGACAGGTTTTCCTGTTAACTTTTTCACCTGGATAGGAATGTGCATGGGTTCTGGCAGCAGTGTTTAAACGGGGTACTTGGCCATTTGAATGGAACACTGGAAAATTCCAAGAATGACTGATTGCACGCAGGAGCATTTTCTTGGCACTAACTAGCTTATCGGGTGACAATGGAGGAGTGAATTTCCTAATTGATACAACAGATGTGCGTCCCCAATACATCTGCATAGATTTCCTGGGCACAGGGAGCCCAATA